GCAGACAGCGTTGTCCTGGGGGCCACAGATATTGCAAGCAGAGGAGCGGCAGTTACCTGTAGTGAAGCGAGCACCTTCGCAGCTACGCGTGCCGCGGAGGTGGCATTCCGCGATGAGAGCGTGGACGACTCACCTGATGTCTCGTGGGCGCTAAGGGCGTTGCCAGGAGTCTTTGCTGTGTTTGCTGCCCAACCGTGCTGTAAGAACGGCAAAGAGAGAGTTTGGGGTTACCCTTGCGGCTGCGAGAAAAACAATGAATTGTGTCCTAGGGCGAGAATGGCCTCTTTTATTGAACAGTGGAGCGCTCCTTTAAGGGAGCAGTTATGTGTCCTCCCCTCAGAGAACCCTCGGAGAAGTCTCAGAGACATTCGCTTCTTTTGGCTGAGGGTGAGCTGTCTGTTAGCATCTGCCACTGCTGCGGCGGGAGATGAAAACTCGGGCGACACAGACTGAGTGAATAGCCTGCTCGTACTTGTGTACCTGTGTGTTTTAGCTTATAGAAAAGCTTAAAGGGCGCGGGACTCGGTGGCAGCTGCCCACAGGTCCGCTGTTTTGGGTTGGCGGAGCTCCTCCTAGCCATTCCGACATATCCAGCACATCTTCGCATGATTGGGTACCTTGTGACAAGCCTCTCTGTAACGCCACTTTGGAACTGCTTGATGCCCTTGGGAAGTCTTGCAGCAACACTTGTATTTGCATGTCCGAGAGACGTGTGAGGGAGTTGCCGCTCCTCAGCTGTCGCACGCTGAACGACGGTACGTAAGGAGGGAAGCGCTGGCCGACGTCTACTCGGGTTGAACCGGCGTTATGCTATTTTATACGCACACGAGCTGCAGTTCATGAATATCATGTTCATATGCAGGAATGTCTGGGGCATCTACGCCGCTGAAAGCTGAGGATGAGCGTTCTCAAAATGCCTTNGTTCATATGCAGGAATGTCTGGGGCATCTACGCCGCTGAAAGCTGAGGATGAGCGTTCTCAAAATGCCTTCGAGGAAGATCTTCGGCGTCACTTGGTAGACATCGCTTATTTGTTTGGCAGGGTGGAAGACCCACAGGAACTCCGAGCTGCTTTACCACTCCGCGCTGCCATCGCTGCCTCCTTTCTGCAGTCTTTGTCGGAATGCACGACTCCCTTGGTAGGGAGAGCGAGCGCCACTGTGGCAACGGCTGTTGATGCGCAGCCAAGCGACGGGTGCACACGAGATAAAGACGCTTATGCAGCTCTTGTCCTCGATGCTCGAAGGGTTGAGTGGCTTTTTGTTGCTTATCGCGAGGCAGAAACCCTTCCGAAGCACGTACGTTATAGTCTTCATTTACCTCCACTGCTGAGATATCCTTCTAGCGTAGTCACGTTTTAGTTGCACTGGGTGAAGCGCATGCAGTCTGACCCAGTTGGGGCTGCTTTTGCAGGACAACAGCGTCGTTTCAACTGAGGTGGCGAGCGTCCCGGAGCAAGCGCGGGAGGTATGTCTCGTAAACTGAACAGCGCTGTTGTTTCAATAAATTGTTTCGTTGGTGTGTGGGCGTCCGAGGCCGACAGCCACTTTGCGGAGAAATTTGGGGAATATCATTATAGGATCCGGATGTTTTGCTGTTGTAGGACTCGGGGGAAGCTGACTGTCGGCGGAAATTTGCCTCTTTCCTTGCCGAATGGATTTCTTGGGATTCACAGCGCCAAGATATTTCAGAAGTACACCTCGTACAACCAAGCAATGGAGACAGGGCAGAGGGCGGGAACAACGCCGAGACTGCCCAAGTTGTTGCCACCGCCAGGGCTGCCGCACAGTCTCTCCTTCCTAACCTCTGCTGTTCATCATTCGTTGGCTACGCCGTTGGGTTTTGGCCTTTCGTGAGGACGAAGGTGGAAGAGTTGCAGAAATCATGGCAGTGGCATAAAACAGCATCGGCTACTCCGGCTGCTGAAGGTGAGTTTTGGAAGTTCCTGTCGGTAACCCTCCTCTTGAGTTGCAGTGATAACTGATTACTTTTGGATATTGTTTGTTTCTTTTGAAGTATATCGCCTCACTTGTCTTTTTGTTTTGTGTTGGTGATGTCATTTCAGCCGGAGTATCTACTATAGACATATCCGGTGGTGCTATGTCATTCTTACTGGAGCTCAGCCGACACCTAATAGCGGTTTCACGGAGCCTAAAGTGAGAGATGGCGCTGAGGGGTGTCTCTTATTTAGTATCTGGTGTATTGTCAAGTCATTCCGGAAATTCAGTCACTGCACAGGGTTCAGACTTTGTGCAGCTGACCCCGGGTTCAGTTGGGCATCACAAGCAGAGAACACTGCAGTCCCATGCGTATGCGGTGTTTGTGCCTTTGGTGTAGAGTGGATAGTGTGTCAGAGTCG